TCAGGGGATAAAAAGGGCATTTATAAAGGGGTGGGGAAGATTTTCCCCTTGTCCCACAGCGGTTAGGCCATCGGGCAGCATAGATCAAAGGAGTTATGACAGTTTTTTGAGTGGAGAAGGGTTGCAGGGTGTTGTGAGTCTGGTCATTATGATACAGTATCTTCCTTTCTTGTCTTTATTTTTCTCTTCTCTTTCACTTTTTCTTCTTTCTCTTTCCCTCCCTCTCCCCTCTTTTTTTTCTCTTATTACCCAGCCCGGTACGACGGCTTGGTCAGCCCGGTAAAAACTGTCAGGGGAGGGCCAGTTTTCCCCCTGCCCTGTTATATGTACCAGGTTTATCTCAATGATTCAGAAAAACGTCCTAAAAAATGTAAAAATGATTAATATTGCAATTTTAGCTGATTTTAGGCAGGTTTTTGATCAGATTTTAAATATTTTAAATTGACATAACTTTTGATTGAATGAACCGATTTTTTTGATTTTTGCAGAAAAAATAAAGCTCTTATTGTTCTCTATAAGATGAGTAGCATCTTTTGTGCATCTGATATACAGTACTTTAATTTTTTGAGTGCTATACCTACTATAAGCACAAATAAACTGTCATTAAAATAAATACAAAAGTCATTGTTATTGACAACAGCCTCTGTTTCCTTTGTATAATTACATATTTTTAATTATACAATACTTTTCTTCAATTAAATAGCAAATTAAATTAATTATGCTGTCTGTGGTGAGCTTATAGATGTAGAAAAGTCATGAGGTAAAAAAAATTTTAATTCCATATTTGAATTGCTTAATTTTTATATCTCAATAAGTTATTAATTTAAATTTTCCATCAATATTGACAGTTTAACTGTATTGTTTTGCATAGATCCTTAAATTAGCTGGTACCATAATCAATTTATTTGTTTTGTATTAACATCTCTGTTAATCGGTAAAACTACTTTTTTTTCGATTTTGTTCCTCATTGGAAGCTAATAATTTATTTGATCCTAAATGAGCTATTCAAAGTAACCCTGCCCCGCCCCACCCCCTCTTTTTGACTGATAGTACATATTTAAAAACTTTAAAATACATTTCAATAGTGCTTATATTTTATATTTAAATATATTAGTATTTTTAAATTGCAATTAGAAAGAAATACATCATCCCAATTAATAATGCATTCTTTTGCTTCCAGTACATTGGCTGGTAATAAATTTAAAAGTTATTGTACTAAAATTGTGTGCAATTCGGTGAAACCTGAATTATTTTGATCTGTTTCATTGGAAGTTAATAACTTATTTGATTCTTTTAGATGAACAATTAGATTTGTTTTTAATAAAGGTTCGATGACTTGATTTATCGAAACATTGGTTGGTAATAAATTTAAAAGTTATTGTAGTAAAGTGTGTGCAATTCGGTGAAAACTGAATTATTTTGATTTGCTTTAATATTGGAAGTTAATAACTTATTCGATTCTTTTAGAAGAACAATTAGATTTGTTTTTAATGAAGCTTCGATGACTTGTTGCATATTGCACCGCAGATGTTAAATTGATAGTGTTAATAATTAAATATAAATTAAAATTTCAAAGCACTTTATTTTATTTATTTTTTTTTTATTAACATAGCATTCTATTTATTTTTTTTTTTTATATTTATAATTTGTTTTGTGGTAGACCCAGACATGAGCGAACCCATTTGCCCAATTGTCTGGGCTTAAAGAAGACCTAGCTATTTTGTGTGTACGTGGGGAATGCAATATAACGTCACAGAAAGGGTAGTTAAGTTTTAATTTCTCAGTTTCAGTTTCAGTTAAGCTTTTTTTACTGACATCAAAATTGCAGCCCAGGCTGAATTACATTACATAATTAAAACATCTCAAATATCAATAAGCACAAGACATGAAATACAATGGTAAAATTAACATTAAAATATATCAAAATTTGAAACACCAGAAATTCACAAAAAATGAAAACTTTATGTTATACATAATTAAATAAATTATTATATTTAGTTAATTTGGGTAGAGATATGTGCATATAAAATCCAAATTTTGTAAAACTGGAGTTCAAAATTGAGGGTTTAAGGCCTATATAAATAGAATTATTTTCCATCTCAAAAATGTCAGTCTTAGAGATTCTACTACTAGAAAGGGGATTGTTTCCCCTCGTCCCATACTAAGATGTATATACAGTGCTTGTCCTTTGTTGAAAGGTAAGCACTTGTATACATTTGAAGCTGTCTTTCGGTGGTTATCCGTTTGGATAGTGGGTGACCACAAGTCCAACTTAATGCGCCTGCTAGACCTGAACAGTAAAAACGGGTCCTGGACAGCAGGGTATCCAGTTACAGAGGTCTTCTGTTTAAGCATTAATGCTGAAAGAATTGAGGGTTTAAGGCCTATATAAATAGAATTATTTTCCATCTCAAAAATGTCAGTCTCAGAGATTCTACTACTAGAAAGGGGATTGTTTCCCCTCGTCCCATACTAAGATGTATATACAGTGTTTGTCCTTTGTTGAAAGGTAAGCAACTTGTATATATTTGAAGTTGTCTTTCGCTGGTTATCCGTGTGGATGGGTGACCACAAGTCTAACTTAATGCACCTGCGAGACCTGAACAGTAAAATCGAATCCTGGACAGCAGGGTATCCAGTTAGAGAGGTCTTCTGTTTAAGATCAATGCTGAAAGAGTTCTTCAGTAAAAAGGAACCATCCTTAACGTACACAATTAGCAGCTGTAAAGATGTCAGGTACCGGAAGCCATGCCCCAGACGATCTGACACCAGCGATCTGCTTTATCTACATTTTCCTGTTGAATTTAACAGCCACTCAAGCCAGGGCAGATGCAGCTATGGATGTTGCCGTTGCAGAAGCCAGACTAGCTGTATGGGAGCTTGGGTAGCAGCGCAGTAGTGTATTTGGCAGTCAGATTTTATCACTGTTTTATCATAATTGAATTATGATCCAAGAAAGCTGAATTGGACGTACAAAAGACCTTATACCTAGTGCAAGTGATGGTCTAGGCGCTTATCTGGAGAATACAGAGAAGGTTCTTTCAAACAAGAACGCAGCAGTAGCTCTGGCAATAGACACCTCCGCTAGCCAATGGTACCTACCACACTTTGGGGTATATGATCCACATAAGCCGGGGATAATAAGAGTTGTGCTTTACCCAAGTGCCGAATTCAATGGAACATCCCTAACAAGTTTCTCGTTCGCGAAGATCATCAGCACGTCTACCTTTTTGATGGTTTCAGAACAACAACCAAGATGCCAATATAGTAGAACATCAGACGTCTTTGTATTAGCCTAGCAAAGCGGCTGGATAACTGAGCACACATCAATGCTGTCCATGTGTTCTGGTAGCCATGTTGACAAGGTATCCTGTGTGGACTTGTAACTCTGTGTGTTTTAGTACTAAATACGACTGGGTGTCAAAAGAAAGAGAGAATGGTACAACCAGCAATGGCAACGTTTGGTCTACGACTAACTGTGGAAGTTGAGAAAGATCAAAGTCACTACCTACTTATTTGTGGTTGCAAAAAATCGCATCCAAAGCCCTGAAGTTATGAAAGCCTTTCCCACCAACGACCGCGCTAGCGATCTCAAATATTTAGATCTCAACATTGACAATCCACGTCTATTGGGACTTGAAGGCTGACTTCTTCACTTTATCAATCTCAGCGGACGAGAAACCATTCACAGAACGAGGCGTTTTATCCAAGATTAACGGTCTATCTGACCCCATAGTCTTCGCTGCTCCGGTAGTTGTTTGAGATAAAACGATGCCAATAAATGTGTACATGGTAGGATGTTGTGGCGTTGATGTACTAGTTTTGTGCGCTAAACAAGTACTGTAGCGCACGACTAGGGATACTCCCCGAGGAGTACAGACTGTCTCTTATACACATCTAGATGTGTATAAGAGACAGGTGTAGCATTGTGTAAAGGTAGAGTGAGAACACCAAAGTTACCAGTGTTTAATGATAGCAAAGATGACCTAGATGCGTATTTGCGAAGGTTTGAAAGGTATGCAGAGGTGCAAGGTTGGGCTGAGAATGAATGGGCAGTGAATTTAAGTGCCTTGTTAACTGGTAGTACATTGGAAGTGTATTCTAGATTAAGTAATGTAGAGGCAGACAACTACATATGTTTGAAAACCGCATTATTGAAACGATTCAATCTCACTAAAGAAGGTTTTAGAGAAAAATTCTTTTCAGGTAAACCCATTGATGGAGAAACAAGTCAGCAGTTTTCTACTAGATTGGTGAACTACTTGACTAGGTGGATTGAGTTATCTGAAATCTGTCTCTTATACACATCTAGATGTGTATAAGAGACAGGTTTAGGATTACTGTGTGGATCTAAGCACTACATTGTTACTTTATTGTTCGTAAAACCCAATCTGTTTAGCCTCTATAAATATATATATTTATAGAGGCTATATATATATAAATATATATTGAATTATAGGATGATACTCTTATTAATAGTACTCAACACATCCTTAATAAAATCATTTTTAAGACAATCAAAGTGTTTAATACTGTAAAACCAGCTAAACTTTCATGTGCAAAAAAATTTCACAAATACTGTACCATACAGAATTTATTAATATCGTAT